GGCCATGGATTTCCCAGCCCGTAGAAATGCGGGCCATTTTGGCCCGCCCCGTTTGAACCGCGGGCCGGCGCGGGCCGGGCCGGACCGGCCCGTTTGACAGTGCTAGGTGGGTCTATTTTTCATGTATGAACGATGTGGGACAACTCACAAGTGATATTCTAACAATTAGGGTCATAATTTACTTTTAATTTTGAACTAAAATAGCTTTAAATTAATTTTAATTCAATAACTTATATTGTCATTATCCACTACAAAGATGTGATAAAATTTCAATGGAAAATTTCTACGGAAATGTAGTATATTCCAATGGAATTGCAACGGAAATTCAAATGGATATTCCAATGCTATTATTTATGTTTGAATTTTCCAATGGATTGCAAACAATATTCCGTTGGAATGAGTTTTTTATTGGAATTTCCGTTGGATTTTGATGATTCCAATGATACATATTCCAACGAGTGAAATATGAATGAAATTAAAAATTCCAACGAAAATTGTAAATTATAACGAAAATTCCTACATTAAAAAACCTTTGGAAAAATGACCGTTGGAATGATAAAATTTCATTTAAATTCCAATGGAAAGCTCATATTCTAACGGAATAATTTCGTTGGAATCATTCCAACGGAAGCTATGCAATTGGAATATCTGTTGGAATTTCCATTAAAATATATTACCATAGGTCTTTCCGTGCAATATGACATGTTTTTTTTTTTTTGTAGTGATCACAGCTTATACTACCTCATATTTTTAATATATGTCGTTTTGAGAAGTTGCATATTAAATTATTAATTAAGAATATTTTTTTGTCAATAATAACCTTATTTAATGAAGATAAAGATAATGTTTTGAGAAAAAGATGAAGAATGAATATGAAAAGACATAATACATTTATCAGCTAAACGAGGGTAATAATTAAAAAATATGTACAAAAAATCCAAAACGACATTTATTTGGTTAATAGTTGATAAAGTCAAAACGACATTTAATAGTTTTATTAGGATATCATATTAAATGTTTATAAGTAATAATACTTCAATGTTATTGTTTGATTCAATATTTAATACTTAATCAATTATTTGACTGCAAAATTATTATTTTTTCGCAGGGGCGGATCTATCTTCAAGCTGGGGGGGGCCATTGTCGCCCCCAAAAATTTTAATTTTAACTATTATATATACATATATATACATATATATATGATAAATATATTACTCTTTTTACACTTTTGTATAAATATTTTTTTTAATTTAAATAAATTGAATGTATGGAAAATATGTGAAAACATAAAAGCTGGTAATATAATTCTTGAAAAAGGAGGTCATATAAAATATGCTTAATGGAAAGAAAAAATATAAAAACTAATAGTATTGCGTCAATCATTAATGAAATACATGAGTTGAGAGATCGTTCAATCTAAATTTGTTATTGTCAATGTTTGAAACTTTATAATTCATATAACACTATTATTATGTATAATTTTATAATACAACTTTCTATGTTTTATATACATTAAATTCAAATCTATAATTATTAAAAAAAATATATAGCATCCCTCAAAATAAATTTCTGGATCCGCCCCTGTTTTTTCGTACAAACATATGCAATATATTTATAAAATAACAATTTTCATACTCAAACAGCTCATTTAATACACGTACTCGCTATTTCTACTAAAACAAATAACTATTTTCCAAAATTCAATGTCTATCCAACTACACCTCAAATTGAGCATTAAACCAAACAACATTTTCTTCTACTCTAAAGAGTCTAACCTAAACTAGAGCATTAGAAATGACTTTTGCTCATAATAAAGTGCACAAGAAAGGTCAAAAAGCCAAAGGCACTTTGAAATTCCTCTCGACTTTGATTTTAATTACCTGCGGTAGATTACAAACGATACTGATAATTTTTTTTAGAAATGTTACAGTCCCGTTACGGTACTATCTCATCTGGTGTTTTAATCGTTGAATCATCTATCTTATATAACTACATGTGGACGGGACCGTAAAATTTCTTTATATTATTATTATTTTTCTCAATAAAATTACACTGCTAACATACGCACTTCAATCTGCATAGCACTTGCCCAATTTGAATTCCGTTAATGGGAGAGTAGTGGCGGCCCCATCTTCCCCACTCTCTCTCTCTCTCTCTCTGCACTTGAGAAAAAGCTAGACTTCTTCTCTCATTTCAAAATCTCTTCACTTTACTCTTTCAAACCAAACATTTTCGTTTGTCCTTTCTATTTTCTTCGTTTCAACGGCAGCAAAGCCACAGATTTCAAGATGCTCGACGGGATTCTTGGCCGTGGATTCAGTGTCAAATGGTGGGAATTACTTGTTCTTGTTTACATGGGTCTTGATTTTTTTTTGTTTCAATGTTTTTGTGATGCGTTTTAGGTTCTTATGGTGTGTGTGTGTGTGTGCAGTAAATCTCTTATGAAGACGACCCGGGCGAGGATCGAGGTTGTAAGAAAGCGAGCTGATGCGAAGCAGAGGTTCTTGAAGGAGGATCTGGCCAAGCTGCTGTCTAATGGGCTCGACATTAACGCCTATGGAAGGGTATTGCGTTTTTTCTTCCCACCTTTTTGTTTTACCGAAGCTATGATCTGTCTTGTTAGCTGAGATTTGTTGTGTTGGGTGCCCAACTGTAACTCCCATTGATTTGCTTGTTACTTTTGTATTTACTCCAAAACCATTTTAGCTCATATGTTTCGTGATGGTAGCTCATATATTTGATAGTATAACTATTTTGTTCACATATTATGACGGGTCGACCCGCATAACTATTTGACTGCTTCACACAAGAATTTGCGATTTCAAGATGATTCAAGCCCCAAGGGATAGAGATATTGTTGGAGTTAGCTAACGTTGGGCAATCTGAGAATGGCGTATCGAACTTGTACCCTTTTTTTTTTTTTATGATGTGTGTTGTCTAATAATTTCATTTGCAAATCACTTACAATGTGTGCATACACTTCTTTTAACATGCAAAACAGACCGAAGGATTTGTGGCCGGAATGAATATCTTGTTCTGCTACGACTTTGTCGAGCAATGTTGCGAGTACACGGCTAAGCAGCTTTTGAGGATGCAGAAACAAGGGTATCTTCCATGCACATATTTTAAAGTGGCTTATATTGTTCTGTGTTTTTGGAGATGATTCATTTTCTGTTGAGGTTCAGCCATGCTTCATGTACTGACATGTTAAGTGGGATGATTTTTTTTAGGTGTTGCAACTTTTGAAGTAAACGTAAAATATGTGATAAACTCGTCAATGTCTTTAGTGAGATATCAAGAAGTAATTTTCATAAGGAGCACATAACGACATTAATATGATTTAGAAAAATAGCAATAGGAGCATGGTTTGGTAATACACCAATTTGACCACTATTTGTAGATAAAATGATTAGATTTCGCTAGTGCAACGCTCGTATTGACCTTGTATTTTGTTCAAAATGGTAGCCAACCAAAGCCTTATGCTTAGTGTATAGAGCGCGCAACACTGAGGTTGACGGATATTTCCTCTTTATGCAGCACGCTGATATTGTCTATTCATCGTACATGCCTAGCCGTTTCGTACTTGTGGTTTTCCTCTCTAGAATGTGTCTTTAAGTGGATTCTTAAATTGAGTTTGCATATCAAGTGTTTTTCATAAAGTCTCCATAACAGGTACCAAGATATGATGCTTCTAAAAACATTATTATGATTCTGAGCTGGGCCAGAAAAGCCCCTTTGATGATTCGGAGCTTGTGGGCTGTCAATTCAAAAACATTATTATAATTCTCAGCTGGGCCAGAAAAACAATTATAAAAGAAACAATTAATAAAAATCAAAACTAGTCACACAAGATCAATGCTTGCAAAGAAAGTACCTGTCTTTGCTTAGTTATTACATCTTAATGTCACCAAGAAATGGAGCTTATTTTTTATGGAGCTTCAGTTTTTAACCGCTGTAGCATGACTTATCATGTGAATTGCATCTCGTTTTGCAGAGAATGCCCTGAGGAATGTAGGGAGCCTGTGGCATGTCTTATGTATGCTGCTGCAAGGTTCTCTGATCTGCCGGAACTGCGCGAACTTAGGGACATATTTGAACAGAGATATGGAAATTGTTTAGAAGCTTTTGTCAACCAGAAGGTAATGCCTATCCACACACACACACATATGAGGTGGATTTAATGACGACTATTTTGGGCGTGAAACTTGAGCAGTATCATAGTTTTATGTCTTGTGTTGTGCTATTATCAGCCACATGGTGGTGTTCTAAACAAACAAAATGGCCACTGCCCCTTTTTACTTTTCTCACTGCTTAGTCTTTATGTGTGCTTGATTGTTGATTTCTAGTTTGTCGAGAAACTAGCTTCGAGGCCTGCTACTTCCGAAAAGAGACTCAAGGTACTGCAAGATATAGCTTCGGAGTTTTCGATAAAGTGGGATTCCAGGGGTTTTGAAAGGAGAATGACTGCCCCTTCAGCAGTTGCACAGGTACAATTATAAATTATTTATGGTGTTCTGTCAGTTAAGGAAAAGATTGAGGAGAACTAGAAATGCGTAAACGTAGTTTCTACCCAATCCCTTACACACCGCGTTCTGAAAGAAAATAGAGGAAAGCGAAACATCTGAGGAAAAAGTTAACAAGTTAGTTTCAGGACATTCATCAACTTCCTTGTCCAATTGTAACTTATGATATGCTCCCCAGGTACGTTTGCAAAAAGTGGACGTAGTAAAGCAAAGTCCCGGGCTTTTGGAAGAGAGAAAAGGCAGAATACGTGAAGGTGGAGCAGATAACAACTCTAGACGAGATGAAGCTTATGAAGTTACTGAATACAAGGAGAAGTCAGCCTTAAGGAGGGATAGGAGAACTGACCTTAAGCAATCATATCCTATCGAGAAAGGTGACCCAAAACTTAAGGTGGAAAAATCCAACACTCCACACCATGAGAAAGTCTTTGCTGATAGCAGGAGTGTCGCTACCAGACATGCGGGCCCCAGCAATGGTATCTGTAACCCAAGCAAAGGAGAAAGCCAAAAAACAGTATTTCGTGAAAAGGTGGTAGAGCTTGCTCCGAACCGTCTGGAACCTCTGGGAAGAACTGAAAACGACATTCCCAGTTCTGCTCTCCCGCCACCATATGTCAAATCAAATGACAAAAATATCCCTCCTCCCCCGTATATGAAGACAAAAGAAGATAAATATGGACACGATAAAGAAGATAAAAACGGCCATGTAAAAGAGCCAGAGGCGATTCCCCCCTTACCGAGACCACGGTCAAGTAGAAAAAAACACCACAAATTGCCGAATGACTCTACCGATGAAGAGCATGGGGCCGTGCTAGGCAGGAGAAGGGAACATTCTAGAAAGGGCCTACAGATATTGTTTGACGAGGACCACCACCAGAGGAAGGATGACGAGGAGAGGATGATCGATAAACTTTTAATGCATTACAGCAAGAAGCCTTCGAGCTATAAAGATGCCGGGACTTTAAGGAAAAGATCGCCTCGTAAAAAACAAAATCCCGATCTTGGCGAATCATCTGCTGCTGCCTATCCCACAAGATCTGTTTCTCTTCCTCACGAGCAGCATCATCAACCTACTTCACCACAACCTGAAAAGAAGGTCTTCACCCGTGCCAACACCTTCGAGCCGGATCGTAACCAGGCACGCCATGTGCACCCCAAGCTGCCCGATTATGATGATCTAGCTGCTAGGTTTGCAGCCCTCAAGGGTGGATAATGGTAAAAACTTGTGTTCCTTGAGGAATGTGCATTAATTTGATTAGGTCATATGAATTCATATTTGGGTGTTATCAACCTGAGATTGCAAATCTGTTGATGCTTTAGAACTTGTGCGTCATATGATGCTTACTGCAATTCTTTGTTTAGTGTTGATGAATCTAGGATGTTGTGGCTTGCGAGTGTTTTGTACTTTCAGATTGTGATCATTTATACCTGGAATTAAACACGGAAGCCTTATGTATCTCATAACTTGGGATGGATGTGTTTCCCTAGTTTGTGCAGTTTATGACAAAATGGTACTGTAATAGCTACACATGTTTTGTAGATTTAAATGATGTTAATTGATAAGTTAGTTAGAGTGGGGAGTTTTATGGACCGCGTTGCTTCTTTTCGGTTGAGCGTGGGTGTTGGCTTGAGTTGTGGCGCTGCGGGGTGTTTTTTCATGCTCAAAGAAAATACAGCATCAAAGAACGCCTACACTTGTTTTAAGCAACCTAGAGCGGTAGATGAGGTATGCTCCTCGTGAGCCGCTTCGAGCTCCCTGGTCAGGTCCCCATTCTCAATTGTTGTCTCCAGCGCGGGTTCCCACCATGGATGATCCCTCGGGAGCTGTGGGTCACCCTTGCCAGCCACCCAAATAGACATGGACAAGGGTCACCCGACCCGCCGACCCTGCCCGAGCCGGACTAACCCGTTGACCACGGGTCTGGGCCCGGCACGGATTTCAAACGGGCCGGTCAAGGGTCTTGTTTTTTTACCTTGACCCGGCGACCGGGCCAGGTCCGTGTCGGCACAGAAAAAAACATTGCTTTTTGAAATTTTTTATTTATTTTTTTTTTATGTGGCCGGGTCGAGGCTTGGGTCAGGGTCACCGAAACCCAACCCGGTGGCCCGGCTCGGGTTTTGGCCATGTCTACATCCAAATTGGGCAAACCATTGACGAGCGACCTACCGTCCCATACCCGGTCGAAGTGTTTGTCTAGTCCCATGAAGGAGGGGATCGACCCAAATGCGTCCTGCCACAGGCTTAACCTCGATAAAATCGTAAAGAATAATGTTGAGCTTACTAGGTGAAACAGGCTTAACCTCGACAAAATCGTAAAGAATAATGTTGAGCTTACTAGGCGAAAGAACGTCGTTGCGTAGTCGATTTCCCCATTTTGGTCACAGATATCCAACATTCTTGTGACCTAGAAATTGCTCTGCGTCAATGAAAGCTTTCTCCATTTGGGCGTGTACTGTTTTCAACTCCGTTATTTCATTATCACATCTTCTAAATTTGCAGCAAACAAGGTTATGAACAATAAAATTGAACAATGTACAAGAAATGAATCCCTTTTCTTCTTTTGACAGCAGTAAAGCAGAGATAAATACCAACAAAACTTCAACATTAACAGGTTTTATTAATCATCACAAACCAACAAACTATAAATAATCCCACTCACTAAGAAAACAACAGAACAATACAAAAACTCGATCAAAACCTGCAAAGCATTCAGGCATTAGCCACTATCTGTTCGTCAAATTCAGGATGAGACCCATCTCTTCCCTCACTTCTAGAAACTTCTTCCCCCGATTCCCCTGCTTCCTCATGCTTATAATTCGAACCGTACATCTTTCTCCTTGCCTCCCTACGTGCAGCCTTCTTCTCCAACTTGAGCTCTTCAAATTGCTTCTCGAAATTATCCTCGTCCTCAGGTGAAAAGAAGACAACCTCCATCTCGCCAAGCTCTTGGTACATCTTCTCGATCTTTGTTTTCCAGAAGAGACCCATCTCGGTGTCCATCTTATGGTAGGGTGTTTTTAGTAAATACTCGTCTATGCCACCCGCCTTGTCTATGCAGCGTATAGTGTGGGTCGTCACCTTAACACGGATGTGCCTGTCCAATATATAGCTGAAAAGACGCTTTTCTTGCACGTTAGGTTTCCAGCTCCTCCTTGTCCTAAAAAAAATAGCATCGAGTAAAGAAGCATGAGAATGGGATTATTACAAAATTGAACTAGAAACAAAAAATATATATATATATATATAGTTCAAGAGGTTAATTTTTGGTCACATATATAACAAAAGTAAATAAGAATTTAGGAAGAGAGACAGCAATACGACACTGAATGCAACAACTCCATGATTTAATGTCAAATCAAAATGTATTAATCAGTGGATCAACGATATCAAGATCCCGATCAAGAAGAGATCAATAAGAGTTAGTATAAGCATAGACAATTTCAAAAGGTAAAAAGTCAGTTCTCCTGGTGAAACTATGCCGATAAACAATGAGTTAAATATATGCATAATTGACAAATCGATCTAGAAAAGATAGCTTGATAAAACTTCCAAGTTGATAAAACTTCCAAGTTTTGTGGAGCAACGTAGCCGATCAGAAACAACTCCGAACACAGTGCTTATCTAATTTATTTGATAATGTACATAGTATCTTAGTACAATAACTTCAATTTTAAATCAAGTAACCTTCATGCTTCTACACAAGGTCGAAGACTAAACCGAAAAAGGCAAACGACACGATTAACAGAAGAATTCTCCATAGTTTTGAAACTTCCACATACTTTTTTCAGTTCCAAAGCCACAAATTCACAAAACAAATATATACAAAATAATAATAATAATCACAAAAACATAAATCAAATTAATCGGCCACCATCCTTTCCCCCCATAAACTTAGCTCAAGAATGACTCTTTGGCATCTCTGTATCTGTACAAGACTGGTTAACTGATTAACATTGAACCGAAATTGATTAAAAAAGTTCAGTTCTTTGGCAAAATCTTTCAGATATTTATACTCAAATCCCTCCAAAAATGGGGGAAAAAACACGCATAACTGGACATACACAGACTATGAGAAAACTGAAACACAGCAAAGAAATATATGAACAGACTTGTTGCCGCCGTCTTCACTGACGCGGTTCCCAAACTGGATATGTCGGCCCGCGTAAAGCCCGCGGTGAGCTCGGCCCATCACGACCTTTCTGTCCGGCACCAATTTTTTCAATTGCTCTTTCACTCCAGGCGCTAGATTCTGCTCGCCGCCGATTTTCTTCACAATCTTCTTCATCATTTCGCGCGACCTGAACGCCATTGTATGATGAAGTTAGCTTCTCTGCAGATCCTGTAGTTTGGGTGTAAAATGGATCGAGAAATTGATTTGGGGCCTAGGGCTTTTGTCAAATGTTGGGCATGAATATGATTGGTAGTTTTGATGGGATAGTTTTAACTTTTTTTTTTTCCAAACGATAATATTACTATTACTCAAATAAAAGAGAGTTTACAACCGGATGGCCAACTAGCCATAATACAACCCAGAGAACCACACCCTACCGGTGGCCTAGAACAAGAACAACAAGCACAACAGGCATAACCAAGGTTAGACAACCTGTGCACTAAAAGAAAACAACACAAACTAAGAAACCAACAGCAACATAAAATCCAAGCCACTGAACCGAAACGGATCTAGCTATGGACAAAGCAAACTACTAACCACCAAAAAAAGCAAAGGAAAACAGGAAGAAAAAAACAGAAGAAACTAGAAAAAAGAACTAGAGGCCTCATAATACTATTTGATATTATCAAAATAATTAGAAAATATTTGATAAATTTTATGATTTGTTGGATTTTTTGGTTTAGTTTGGTTAATTTTGAAAAAGATGGTATGGTCAGTTGTTAGAGGATGTATTAAAATGATATTTAAAATAAAATAATTAAATTTGATTTGATGTAAAAGTATGAGACAAATGATTTGAAGTGGTGGTTAGTTAAAATTATGTGAGTGGATGAATAGTGAATTAAAATTTATGTGCTGTGTTATAATAATTGATTGATATTATTTAATTATATTGGTAATATTGATGATAGTAGTGTTGAGTTAAAATTGAGTTAAAAAAAATGGATGAGTTAAAAATTTATATTTTTATGAGTAGTTTTGTAACCAAGCATCCTCTAATCATTTCTCTCATACATTATTTAACTTCTTATTTAGTTCATTGTTCATTCATCCTCACATATTACACTATCAATTATTTTTCTCGTACATTACATAACTTCTTATTTAGTTTATTGTTCATCACTCACATATTTTTAACTCTCAGTTTTATCATCACTCGTATTTTCACATCACATCAATTTTAATTATTATATTTTAAATATTATTTAATTACAATTTCTCTCTTACCACTCAATCGGCTTTATTTAAAATAACTCATTTTAATTCAAAATCGATTTAGATCAATTTTAATTGATTTTGACTGTTTATAAATCTATGTAGGACGCACACCAAAACCCACTTTAAAATCATTGAAATACACTTAGAGGGTGTTTGTTTACAAAATAGCTCATTCATATTTAATTCATACTAAAAATTTAACTAACTTTAATTCAACCACTATATGTAATATTATTCGTATAATCAAATAATATAAGCCAATAGCTTTTGCACATCACATCAACTTTAATTCATAATTATCCATCCACTCACATAGACTTAACTAACCATCACATCACATCATCTCTGTCATACTCTTCCATCAAATTAATTTTGATTATTTTATCTTAAATAGTAGTTTTATATAAATTTAAAATTCCACAAACAACTATCTTTATCACTTTTTTTTTTTCATTTAAAAAAAGCTCATTCTGGCAGATTAGTTCATAGACAAGCACGCATTTATAATATGTGGTAAATTGTTACGATAAAAGATGAGAGAGAAATAGTGACGATATAGTTTTGGAGTAATGCTCACCTACCCACGGTGGACACATGTTAATATGTCCACCGCTTATGTGGCATGTACACATTGGTGGTGTATTTTTTTAACATATTAACATCACCAATGTTTGATTGCCACATAAGCGGTGGACATATTAACATGTGCCCACCGTGGGTAGGGGAGCATTATCCTATAGTTTTGACTCAGAAGAATGAATACGACAATATATATTTATTATCCAATTATTTAGTTGATTTTTCGGTTACATATGAGACCTTTTATATTGATTTTTGGTTCTCTGATTGAATTGTTTGAGACCAAAAGGAATAGTTTTTTTTTTTAAATTTATTTATTTTTAATCGATAGCATTTGTTTATTGAGACCAACAACTGACGTCTTTTAAATAGTTGTGACTAACGTGATTGTCCTTATTTTAATTTATTTATTTATTCACAATTATGCAACTATAAATTTTTATGAATAAAAATGGGATTATGTAGTAATAATTGTTAATTTTTTGTTATTATAACACATGTTTTGTTAAGAGAATGATGCGAGTATAATATCACTACTAAATTGTTGAAATAAAGTTCAAGAAGGCTTACTATAATGCATAAACAACTTTTTTTTATCATATATCATAAATGTTAGTTTTATCAAAATAATATACACTTTTATAATTTATATAATGTATTCCAAATGTATTTATTTTATTATTTTACAAAAATTCTATTAAGGTTCACTTCCAAAAATGATAATAAATTTTATTACACATGAATTGCACACAAAACATAAATAAATCTGTTATTGATATGATCATTAACGATTCTTGTACCTATCTGTAAGTTTACAAAAGGTGATCCATCTTGCATGTCAGTTTGATTAGCATCAGACTCATTTTGCAAATAAATAAATATTAATTACTAAAATTTATTTAGATAACTACAAAAAAGAGAAAAATATGTAGACCTAATTTGAAACCAGATTTATGTAGTTCAAAATTGAGTTATTTTTGTTTTCTTATTTTAAGCATTTAATTTATATTTTTTTAATATTAACTAAATCATATTTCTACATGTCTATTTAAATTATTTTATATCAATTTACCTATATAATGGTAATAATGTCTTTATTATTCAGGAATGATGAAGTTTCAAGGAATGACATTAATGTGAAAAAGCATTTTTCGTTGAATATCACAAATGTTTTTTTTTAATTTAAGTATCTTTTATTTTTTTTTTAATTAAAAAAATATGCTATTTGTATTCACAATCAGTTATATGTTGTTTCTAGAGTCACCAATTCCAGTTGTCTGATGATTATTATTTATGACAATGGTCATAATGAATACAATTCATCGATTACTAAGATTATATTCAGGAAATATCTTAAATATATTAAATAAAATATTATGTTAACTCTATATACATGTTTTATGTATATTAAATTATAATTCACCCAAATTATTAACTCTATACTCCCCACTAGTGTTAAACCCGTGCGATGCACGGGAGAATATGGTTCAATAACAATAGTTATCGTAAGTTAATTAAAAAATTATATTTTTGCAAATCAATTGAAAAAATGAAATTTATCTTAATATTATGGAAAATCCATTATAACCAGAATGATGGAATGGCCGGTCACAGTGGTACTCACAAACTAATATTGTTAAACCAAGATCACTGTTGCGCTGATAGCACAAAATAGAGTTTTCTATTTATTGAAACATAATAGGCCGACGTGTATGTTACTAATAGTCGTTGGCTCTTTTTAATACTCACCAACCATCACATAGGAAATCACAAATGGTAACTGATGTCACATGAATTTTAAAGGTATTTACAGATCAAAACGAAGATAACATAGCACATATACTTCAAAGACAACCTATTTTAAGAAGCTATTAATTTTTTTTAAAAAAAAATCAGTACAAGTCAAACTCATTATATTTAGATATTATTAAAAACTTCATTATGCACAACATTTTCGGTCTAAGCTTAGAAACTCGATCTCCACACACTAAGATTTTTAAACCACTACGATTGGTTACATGTGATCGACACAAAAAAGGCATGCATTTTTTTGAAGCTATGTTTGTTGATGAGTACGTATAAAATATATTTTCTGCGATTGTAGTGTCGATCTTAATCAGGAGATATTGTTGTCAAATGAAAATTAACAACGATCTAATTAAAGTAAATTTGAAGTAAACTTAGTATGCATCAACAGGGACTTGCATATTGTAAAAAGAGATGGAATTTTTTGTGAATATTCTTATTGTACCTGTTCCTGGAGAATTGTTTTTCTCCTTTTATATTTATGTACAATATTTATCCGTACAGTAATCATTACATTTGAAAGGTCAAAGGCGGCTCTTAGCTACTTCTCTTGATAGCTCGCCACTTGGACAAACGTAATGATGACTTATGCTGAGTTGTCGCCGCCTTACAGTGCTGAGGTGGCATATTATAGATATCGGTTTATCCAGTTATAACCGGTATGTTGTATCCGACATGTGGTGACCGACATGTGTTGACCGACGTGAGATATCGGTTAAGTAATGGAGATGTCGGTTCTTGTTGAATCCCTCATCGTGCAGTCGTCTTGAAGTCGGTGGAAGTGTCACGTACTTGTATAAATTTTAATTATCTTCATACTGACCTCAATCGGCGGATTAACGTCACTTAATTTGGCTTACTGAAAATGATATCAACAGATATATAGTCACATCACACGTAAAGATGATATGTGTATATTAATTAATAAATTAATTATATTTGACATAAAGATGGTAATATGTCCATATTAATATTTTGCATAAAAATGCAATTAGAATCATTCTAATTTTTTTTATACCATGTTTATATAAGTTAAATAAAATCTTTGCTAACAAAATCTATCGTCCAAAATATAGTATATAGTCCTAAATTTAACAAAATATTTACTAACAAAATCGTTGCTAATAAAATCATTGCTCATAGCCAAGCAAGATTTACTGGATCAATAAATATTTGCTAACAAAATTATCCACGAGATTGTTCGGGTGACGACGAGTTGGACGTGATGATGATTAACATGGTCCATTCCGGGGAGTTGGAGCTATTATCTGAGTATAACCGGTGGGATCCAGTGTTTGTTGAACGGCTGAAAATTCGTCTAAACGACAGCGAGGGGGACAAAGTTGTAGAGAGAAACGCCCTCGATGACTCAAGATTTTGGAGGCGACCTATTAGGAGATGGCCGAATCCTGAAATTACATCCCATGGCGAACCCAATATTCTTACTGACGCCGACGTCGTTATGCTGCGGGGCGAAATTCGAGTCCCTACATCGGTACACCTGTTTGCCCCATATCCAGGTGAGAGGATCACAT